GTATGTATGTATGTGTATATATATATATATATATATTAAAAAAAATAATTCAGTCTCCTATGTATTTCTCACTCTTCCAGTCTGTGTCTAAGGTGGTCAGAACTCTCACTTGTTAGCATTAACCTTTTTAAAAATTTATGTTAAATTAAAAATTTTTCAGTGTGCTTCTGTTACTGCTATTGTATGTCCACAGCTGTCTGAGTGGAAAGCAGTTATCTATGAACTTCATAATAAGAGTAATAAGATTCTCTTGCTCCTTTTAGTTTCCGCCTTAAAAAACTGGTGGATGTACTTTGGTAGCCCGCCTTGCGTAATGCCTCTCAGAAATATATGACACACTGCTGTCATGGAAGCAGGGTGAGGAAAATGACCTCAGTCCCAGATAGAGTCCGCTCTCCTCCTTTATCTTACTTGATGCTTCAGGGTTTGATAGTGCTAGGAGTTGATGTTGGTGGCAGTGACAGGAATGACAGTACGTTTTACCACTTGCTGGTGGAAGTACAAAGCTGTCATACTTGAAAGCCATGGATACAGCTTATAGAGGCCTGTTTAAAAAAAATGTGTGAATAGAGGGGCAGAGATAGTTAGGATTATTTTCACACATTATTTTATCATGAGCAAGGGGAGAAATACTGTGTTTAAGTTTGCTCAGCTCTTTCTCTCCTGCAGAAACTGAATACTCTTTAAAAGGTGAAAGCTTTCATATTAAGATGAGCCCAGATTTCCATTTACTTCTCCATCTCAGTACCCCTCTGTTCCAAACGTTTGTGAGTTGTTCTGTCATCCTGATTTGCATTCTACTTTGTATTGTGTAATATATTATTATATTACTAATCTGCCCAGTTTGTTAACTGGAGTTTCTTTTAAAAAAAATTGTTTTAATCTTTTTGAATGCCTTAAGAAAAAGTCAGTCTTCAAGTTTTCTTCTATGAACTCTAACCCACAATTCTGTATTCCCATTTTATTTCTCTAAAAGCTGAGTATCTCTGAGTATTTTACATCTTTTTCCTGCCTTGTCTAGGTTTAATTATCTCCTTTTTTTCCTCTTTTGTAATATAGTCTGAGCTCCCTTTTCCCCTAACATTTATTATTAATCTCATGTTTAGCTTTCTTGAGTTCACTGCTGTCCCGTAGGGAGATTGCTTACATTTGCAAGGAGTACATCAAGTGTGCTTTTCTGAGATGTAAAGAAAATAAGCTCCACAAGTTTTCTTCAGTTTTTTTTTTTCTTTCTCATCTTATTTAGTGAAAAGGAAGAAAAAAATACATTATTTTCTGTCTTTTTCCTTGCTTCTGCTCTCCATTTAGAAAAACAGCCTGCCTCACAATTTGACAAGTTACCTTTCTTACCTTTTTCAAGATGGTCTTGACGTGTAGCTTCAAATTATTTAATTATAATAGAAGAGGGTTTAACTATTTGATATTTTATCATTGTCATTTTTTAGAAATATTGCTATCTGGTTTTTAATTTTTAAAAAATTATTTTTATGGAGCTATTAACAAAAGAATGAGGGAGACATGTATATAATGACTTGGGTAGATATTCATAATTATTACGAGCAAAGGATGCTACTTATATTTTTTACTTTATATACCTTGGCATTTTTCCATTGTTGATAAATTTTTGTAATTAAAAAATTACTGGAGAAGAAAATATGTGGCTTAGTGGAAAAACTGAATAAACCAATATGCAAAATATAGATATTTTAAAACATCAATTTGAATTTTTAATTTTGAATAGTTTGTAATAACTAGAACATTCTTGAATAATGTCATTTATTTCACTTAATTGAATTATTTGCTTTGCCAGAAATTCTTTCTGTTTTTGTCCTCATTATCCATGTACTTTATGCAAAACAATTTGAAAGTTCTTAGATCATTGAGGATAGTCTGTTTTTTACAGTCTTTTTTTGGCCATCATTTTTGTTCTTCAATTTCTTATACCAGTTGCCTTTCTAGTCAGTTGACATACCCTATCGATTCTGTCTTCACGTTACCTGTCACACGTGTACGCTCCTTTGCACAGCTACTGCCAGCACTTTTTGCCAGGCCTTTCATTACCTGTTGGGGTGATGACTATGGCTTCCCGTCTTCTGTGTCTTACCTAACCAGCGATTTGGTTTCTCATCTTCCTGTTACGTGTCTTACTCAATCAACCCTTTCTACATATTGCTGATTGATTGATTTGTAACCCATTTATCATTGTCTTATTCCCCTGCTCAAATATCTCTGCCGATATTTAAAGCCTTCTTTCTGTCTTTGGCCCCAGTTTAACCTAACAGATGAGTTTCTCACTATTGTATAACTTTCCTTCTAAAGAGAGCAATTTACCATTTCTAAGTCTGCTTCAGTAGCTTTCTTCAATAATGCTTTTATTTATATTGTTTTTAAATCCAACATAATTCCTTTCTTCTTAAGATTATTAAGAACATTGTTGTTGTTTTTTTTTTCCATAGTATTTACTGCATTCTGCCTTTTTGTAGGTATTGCCAGACTTTTAACTACCTTGATTCTAGGTTAAGCTTCCAGGGTAATGACTGTATTCAATATGAATATGTGTACCTAACATAGTGCCTTCTACAATGTAAGGATTCAAATATTAACTGAATTACTAAGCTTACTTAAATGTACAATCAAGGTGTAATGAAACTAAAAGTTTTATTGACTTCGGAAAATAGTCTTTTAGAAGACTTTGGAAAGTAGTCAAATTACTATGTTGACTAAAGTCTTACTAAGCACCTGCTTTCTTATCTTTCGGTTTTCATCTTTCAGTCAAATCTCAGTTAAATGAGGAGTTTGATTTTTAATGCCCAGAGAACTTAGATTTTGCTATCATTTTATTTGGGGGATTAAAAAAATAGACAAGTAGACCACATACCTAAAAATTGACTTACCGTGGTGAGATCAGAAATATTATGGATGGCATTTTTTTAAAGCATAATTATAAATTCTTAAACTTTCATAATAGGTTTGAACATCTGTTCAGACTAATTGGTAGACTAACGACCTCCTGGAGTTAGCAAGCAAGAGAGTTCCATATCTTATTGAGCTCAAGTTTGATTTATTTTTAAAATAATAGTTCTTACTTCTGTGGTTTTGAAGAACTAACCCAGTTAACTATATATAAATGGATGCCTGTGCCTGTGATTTGTGGCAGAAGGACCCATATTGAGTTTACTGTTACCGCTGTTGCTTTTGCATTTACAGATTTCATTCTAACATGAAAAATTGGTATTTATATTTTTTCCCATAAAATTATTAGAAATACAGTGAAAGACACACACGTTTTGGTGAAGCCCATCATGAGGAAAATAAAAATACTTCACCTTTTCATAGAACAAACACTTAAAGTTGTCTAAGCTTCTCATTCTCTCATTTAAGCTGAGGTCATTAATTTTAAGCATATTTGTGACTTGTTTTCAAAAGCTGATCCTTTAATATAACTATTATTTTGGTTTACATATTACATACTATTTAACATTAAAGAGCAATTAGAAGTTGTTTGGTAGGTATGAATTTTCTTTGTTGTAAAACAATGGATGTTACTTTTGAATACTTGAAAGTCCATTACAGGAGGGCAAAAATGCTTGTTAATTGTCTGTTCCAGTGTCAAGCGTAGAAATAATAACAGTTTAGAAGGCAACATTATAATATTTGCCATTTATTATTTTGTTAGATTTCTTATTACAGAACACAAGAGGGCATGAAAGCAGTTTAGGCAAATATACTTAAAAATGTTTTTTAACCAAGTTCTTTGGCATGCTTATAGACTTGAAGACTAAAAATATTTAAGACACAGAGGGTTTCTCTTAATATGAAAATTCTAAAAATAGACTAATTTTTATGAAGATTATAAAACTAAATACAATTATAATTTATGCTTGGAAGTTTAAGTATAAAATTAGTTTAAAAAATTTTAATGGCTATATTAGGAGATATTCTGTGCCAAATATGTTTACTGAATGAAAAAAATTTTAATACCCTTACCTATGAAGTCTTAATTTCTCTACAGGGTTCTGAAAAATGTCTGTTTTCTTATGCTACATTTTGTCAAATTGAAGCATATCTTTAATTCCATGAAAGTAGAAAACAAGAAAGAAGGATACTGTTCTTTTGCTAAGATTTGACATGATAACATTATCAGAAATAAATCACATTAAATTTCCCATGTAACCTCAGGGAATTCAAGCTATTGCATGGTGCTCATTTCTCTCAAGGATTAATGTATTCAGTAAACTAGACTGGGTAAATCTCAACCTCACTTACTTATGTAAAAGTGATGTATTACTGAATTCCTTGACATAAAATTTTATTTAAAGATGAGTTGTTACTTGATTTGATGGACACAGTGTTAAAAAAAAATAGAATAAAAAGTTGCCCAGTTATCAATTATAAGGTAGCAAGAACTGTATTTGCCTATTTAAAGTAACTTATTGCTATTTTTCTGATATAGTGGTAATTAGCACTCACTGATATATTATTGGATTATAACAGTTGGAAAATATTTGTTTGATATGAGATTCCCAAACCTTTTATCTGTAGTTAGGATTAGTAATTTTATACTTTTCCAACATGAATTGAAGATCGGAGACACAAGGATTAAAGTTAGATTAAGTGGTGTAAAGTAAAAAAATTGACAAGATTTATTGCCACTTATTAAGAATGGAAATAGAACTATTGTTCTTTGAAACATTTGGAAGCTATCATAGTATAGGAAACTTGTGTAAATTTTATTACTCTAAAGTTGCTATATATCTAAAATTAGAAATCATTGGCTTTGTGCAGCTTCTCTACAATGATAGAAAGTCTTTTTTTCTTTCTTTTATTCAGATTTTAACAGCTGACTTCTGGTATACAAAAAGACTGACTTAAATAAAGTTAGGAAGTTAGTTTATTTTAATGCACTGGTTTTTACCAGTATACTATATTAATCCCGGAACATTTGGCTTAGACTCAAGCAAAGTGAGGAAGGAAGAAAAGAGGCTGGTGCTTTAGTTTTCTTCCTTCCCTTTATTGTCGGTTTATTCATATATTTATAGGCATAGTGCCCTTGATCTTAGAAAATCAATCTCTTTTTCATAATAAACTTGAATTTCAAAGTTTCCCTATCTTAGAGTGTATATACAGGGTTGTTTCTTGGTTCTTAAATTTTAAAATCCTGATAAATTCTACAATTTTCGGCATTCAAAAAAAAGGATAAAGTTTCACACATAGTTCATTATTTTTGATGCATCAAATATATAGCAAATAGACTATACCAGAAAACATAATGTAGTGACAGAAAATTCTGAATTATTTTGATTGGAGACCATAATTTTTGTTCTTATATTAAAGTGCTATTCCACTTGTCATTTATATAAATATATCTATAGCTTGTGGCATAGAAACAAATACACCTCATAAAAAAAAGAAAAGGATACCTGTGTCAGTTACATTTTAAAGTTATACACTGTTTTAAGGCTATGTATTTATTATTTAGAAAATATGACTTACATGAATATCTTCTGATGGACATAATATTGACAAAATATACACAATATTACTTTAACAGACTGCCATGCAACAAATACATTGTAATGAAGAAATTGAATATATATGACCTAATCTAATCTTGACATTTACATCGAAAATTTACAACATAACCAATACTTAAAATGTTTTTTCTTATATTTGGCAGTAATTTCATTTTTTTACAATTTAAATGTGGGCTTAATGAAACTTAGATTTTTCCCTAGTCTGTGACAACCTGAGGTACTAAACATTTTTCTCTTATTTCACTGTCTTCAAAGGTAATTTTTTTGTTTCTTTTAGGATCTATCCAAGAATTGTGTATTACAGCATTATTAGGCAGAGGATCAGCTTCCACTATGGAAACAACTCGCTTTTTCATTTTACTTTTCAAGACCTTCTGAAATTTTTGTCTAGTAAATGCATATAATAAAGGGTGAAATATAGTTGTTCCATAAGCCATGACTAGAAAACACAACCTTAATTTTACTAAAAGGTCACTTGGGCCTAAACATAAAATGGTGGTATTTAAAACAGAAATGGGTGTCCAGCAGAGAAGAAATGTAGAAATAATCAATAAAGACATCCTGAAGACTCTTTTTTGCCTTTCCCGTCGCTCACGGTGTCGTTTCACGGCTCGCCGGAGGGCGATTATTACAGAGACTGAAGTTCTTACACCAAAGACCACATTTCTCCCACCACTGCTTTGTGACATGTCTGTAGTCTCATGCTGTGTGGTTAGAGAAATTGTCTTTTTCTTTCTTGTTTTCTTCTTCTGCCCTGTTGAAAATCTTGTTCCGATTCGAATGTTAAGAGCCTGAAGGATTTTGGTGTATGTGATTAACATTACTATGACAGTGAAAAAGAATATTGGGATCTGTACTAGCAGGTGGTAATACATTCCCAGTTCGGTGTAGTATTCATTTGTACTGACACACAAAAGTGTCTTGTTTTCCCACGTATTTCCACTTTGAAGACTGAAAAAATTTACCTCAATAAAGGGAATCAGGAAAGAGAAAAACGAAAAGATCCAAATGGATATCATTAGCATTACAGCTCTGCCCATTGTCAGAATTCGGTTTGCAGGTTTTACAGAGATGTCATATCTGTCCAAAGTGATAGCAAAAACGTTGATTGCTGTTGAGACACTTGCGAAAGATACACAGGCCTCATGGAAACAGCAGATGAGAGCAGTGTTACTCTCCAGTGAAAGCAGAAGGATAACTATAGTTAGAGGAATACATCCCACACAAATTATTACATCAAGTACATGAAGATTCATTGTAATAATGTTACTGACAGAGTTGATTAAGTTGGATTTCATGCAGTAAAGTACCAATACGGTGAGGTTGCTGCCAAGTCCCAACACAATTTCTAACATAAGAAATCCGGTGAGAGACACTTGAAAGCTTAATGGATATGATAGTGGTTGGTACATATTGGTGTTGATGTCATCAATGTCATCTCGCACTGTAATGTTAGATTCAGACTGCATGTTGGTTTCCAGAATGGGAGAAAAACACATTCTTTTGGAGCAGTTGGTGTTTTTCCTAGAAAGTGAAATAGAATAAACTCTTTGATATTTGGCAATTTAAATGACGTATAAAACATGTGTTCCTTGTTTTTAAAAAATAGTCTTTTTATTGTGTACTTGGCTTAATTTTTAAGTTTCTAAACTATTAATGGCAAAGGTAGAATTAGGAGACAGCAAGGTTGCATTGTTTTGATGTAACAGGGAATTGGATTCTCCCTTTGACTCCTATATAGTTCAGAATAACTCAAGATCCCCAAAGATTTTCCTCATTTGGGTTTTTCAGGCTTTTTGAGATACGGTATCTTTTTGTACAATAAAACTACCCAGTATGCAAAACTAATTTTAGCCTGGTGTTTTAATATTTCATTTTAAAGTGTTGTGAGTAGGTGGGTAATAAATGCTGTTTTAATATGTTCTAGCCTAATTAGCATAGGTATAATTATTCTCATGAGATTTCAAATGAACAGGACAAGAGTTCATTTAAAATGATAAATGGCACAGAGCCCTAGTTGTTTAAAACCATTTTGTCCATGTTCTTGGTTGAAACTCTTATTCAGGAGTCTACAGTGTGCTTGGGGATATTTGGAGCTCTCTCCCCTAGAAAGTAGGCAAATGATAAATATTACATATTTTGTAGTGCAAATGCTCGTCAAACTTCATAATGGACAAACTTATGTAATAAAAATTGGATGAGAAAGGACATTATGTTAAAGTAGAACACCACAAAACTTGGTAAAAGAGTACTAATCACTCCAATGAATGATTTATTTTGTGACCACACCCTCTCATTTATTGTGGAAGAAGGAAATTGAAATTTAATATCATGTTAAGTAATAATCATTTTTGGAGTGGTTTAAGAGGCTATATCATTTGATTTTATATGTTTAAACAGGATTTTTAAAGTAAAACATGAAATTTTGGAAAAGGAGTATCTGAAGCCCATTTTCTGAGGAATCTTTTAAAGTTATACATTCCATGTGAAACCTTTGGTAAATAAATCACCCGGTGTGAATAATTTTGAGGAAAACAACAATTAAAAACGATTAAAAAATAAGCTCTTTTGCCAATTCATATAAATCTATATTTTAATATATAGAGGGTTAGAATAATTTATAAAAATAATGTCTGACTTTCTGGGCTAACATGTCAGTAATGAGTATATTCAGTTAACATAAAATCATACAACCAACTATATTTCACATTTCAAGTACAGCGTTTTGACTGCAAAATCATAATCAAACATAAATTATAAAGACTAATAATTTCCAAGATTCATGTTAACCTTTCACTTGGTGTAACCTTCGACAGCTTTTTGAATACAATTTTATTTATGCATATTATTTTAGGGGCGATATTTCAGAAACACAGATGACAACATTATTAATTCCTTTGAGCTTGGTATAAAGTATCACTAAAGGCATATACTCAAGTGAAAGTCTTAGCTAACAGTGAAATCATATGAAAATGGAAAATTTTAAGTGTGCCAGATTTTCAGAACTGACAGATTAAACATCAGGTCTTTGTCATCAGTTAGATTTATAATTAGATAAAGCAGAAATGCCAAGTTAGAGGGTAACTAAGTAAAACGCGTCTCCTCTAGAGCAAGATTGTTTTCTTTTGTAAATGTTAAACAGTGTGGTGCGGTGCATGCATCTTCTGACCTACCTGTTTGCTGTTGCCTTATTGGCCTTTTGGCTCACTATAGCAGATTTTCACAAATTGATTCATGATGTCATTGACAGATTTTGACATGAATTTTTACCTGACAACAGTGAAGTAGCTGTGTTTTATTTCATGTCTTGTAGAAATTCTTTCATTTTCTCTCCAATACTTCAAACTGCATGAATTGTGAGATTTAGTTGGCTGATGGATTTCTAAAGACCAGTACAAAATATTTGTGTTTGTTTTGCCTTAAAAAGTCACGACCAAGAGAAACTTCCTCAAATGATAGGAATTGTGTTTCCCTTTGAGGGAATATATGATAGTGTCTCTTTATTTTCCAGAACATGTGAAAACAAAAAAGGAGACATACGGTTTCTAGCTTCTAAAATGTATTTCGACATCCTTCTGTTACAAATGTAAATCTGTTTCTACAGCAGTCCTCATTAGTTTGAAATGATTTCTTGATCACATAACTTGCTTTGTATTATAAATCCAGTCCATGTTCTTTTGATAAAAACCATCTGCTATTTAATTTGATTTGTTTTCATTAGAAGAGGATACATAGTCCTAAAACTTAGATGAAAAAATCCTTTAGTAATATCAAGTGCTATGAATATCTGAATATTTAGTGCAGAAAATACATGATAAAGCTTTATTTAGCTTGCTGCTAATATATGGCATTCTCTTTTTGGCATTCTGTGCCTCATTGTTTCTTCAGGAAACAGCTCCACAATCCCGGTATGTTAAAGTATAAACTCCCCTTTTAAAAATGCTCACCATTTTGTTCTCAGGCTTTCGCAGTTAAATTGTTTTTCTTTTTGTGTCTATTTTATATAGCATCTTCTTAGGATGATTGCTGTCCATGTGTTATATCCCAGCAGTAATGTGGACGTGTATTTTCTGGTTTTAACTCCTTAACGTCTTAAATTCATGTGTCAGAAGAATATCCTGCAGTTTTTGGTTCAGGCAGCTAGAGAGGTGTTTGATCAGACGCATTCTTCATATTGTCAGTTGCAAATACTGAATTAGCTGCTGTGGGCCCTTGTGAAAAAGAAAAAAAATGGTTAAGAAATAGGGTTCCTAATAATTTGCAATTAACACAAGTTACTTCAGTTTTGTTGACTTTGACACCGTACGCAGTAATTTGTTATCAAAGTAAGCAAACTGTATTAGTAGAGCCACCACCTATGCATAAATTTAAGGGATTCTTTAAGTATTTTCTTTTCTTAACAGATTTTGCAAATGTTATGTGATTCAGTAATAGAGGTAGCATTATAGATAGAACCGTGAAGGAGAGGCTGCAGTTTAAAACTAATTTCTGCTCTCCGTTTAGAAGCTAGCCTAGGTTTTCAGAGATTATGATCAATTAGCATACACTACACATACTGTCTTTCTCTCTTGTCTTTACAATAAATTTAACACTGTTTCCTACTGGGAAATATGGTAGCTTGCTTAATTATTAGCACATGGTTTGAGTATCAGCTGATTCAAACCTATCCCATGGTAAGATGCTTATAAATGTCTACGGATGGGTTGTTCATGCAGTTGAAATGCAAACGGTAATGCAAAGTGTGACTGCACACTAAATAATTTTCAGTGAACATGCCCGATAACGAACTTAACCTAAAACTGAATAATAAATAATAGCTAAATAGTAAACCCAGTCCTTTTAAGAAATAAAAACATTTTTTGAGCACTTGAGAAAAACTATCCTGATGACATTAAGAATATTTAGTAGGTCCGAAGTGACTTAAAAGGTGATGTCTCCCTAGTGAATCAACAAAGAAAATTTTTGGTATTTAACATTGCATCCTAAAAATAATTACATTTAAAATGTTATGTCTTAAAAGAAGTCGATCTAAACAATACATGTTTAGCAATAAATAGAATTAAGCAAATAAACTGTTAAAATTTAGGTTGAAATTTTTCAAAGTAATTTTAACCCACTATGCCAGTTCAAAAGCAGCTTATACTGTTAATAAGGGAACACATCTTACCTCCGCTAAGGATTTGATACATTCCTGATGTAGTTGAAGCGTTTTCCAGTTTTGACTGATGCATTTTTGTTCACTTGTTAGCAGAGGACTGGGGGAAGAGGGTCATAAACATCTCTTCAGAAAAGACCTTAATGAAAACATGTGTCTGTCCTGTGCCATTGTCTCAGCGGTCCTGCTAACGTATGGGACGTGTGGTGCTGCCGAGAGGCTGCTGCAGTCTCTCACTCTTCCTACTGTGGAATCAATAAGCGTCTGAAAAACGTAATGAAGTAATTGAACATACTGAAGGCTTCTTGTCTCCAGAGACAACATTTAGATTCAGTTTCTAAAAAGGAATGGCACTGCTTTTCAGAGGAAAGCCTGTTCTGGGCAGCTTTTGCAGAATGACAGCCTACCTTGTCGCTTCTCCCCACTGCAGAGAGATGCAGTGCGTTCACTAATTTTGATTGGTCAGTTGTATTGGGCTTAAACCGTGCTTCATATGTAGAGCAGGGATTCCCCCCCTCCACTGTTTTATATAAGGATGCTTTTTTAAAAGGCTATATTTATAAGTAGTCGTCTGCTGCTCTTAAATAGAATATGAGTAAATTAGTCTTTTAAAAATGTGTATTCTATTCTGGTTTGTTGTTCACTTGTGCCAAACATTAAAAAATACAGGGGGGTGGAGGGGGGTAAGAAAGAATCGCATGGTGGAAAGTGTATATTCTTTCTGAAGCCTAGATGATTGCACTCGGGAATATTTTCGTCGTCTATATGTTTTTGGTTGAGATTCTTTGTTCTACAAATAGAAAGCCGCTGCATCTTTACTGTGAACCACATTGAATTTCAACTAGTTTGTTTGTATTCAAGTCATCTTTTCTGTGTATTTCAAATTGTTGTGAGCATCTCAAGGTGTTAAACCTTGTTACTACTGCAGTATTCATTCAGGTGTTCATTCATTCCATTCATTCCTTCATTCATTCATTCATTCAGAATATTAATGAGATTGCTCCAAGGTGGTTCTACCCTAAAATGTTTTTTTAAAATGCTATTACTATTAGCATAGTCTCAATGTATAAAGATTTAATCATGTTCTTTCCTTTCAGATTACTTCTCTGTCTTCACCTTTGGTAACCCTTTTATTTAGTAGATATATAATGATCAACTGCCATAATGTTTTATTTCAACCGGCTATTTCTATTTTTAACCTGGGCAGTTTTAATGGATTGCTGTGCCTTAAATAGTATATGTAGCTGTGTGTGAAAGTTATCGGGTAAACAAAGCAGTAAAGGAAAAAGGAAACTAGTAGTTATGTGTCTTCACAAGTTATAAGGCTAAATTATTTTAAGGTAGATTGTCAAAAGAATAAAAACAAGTAGAAGTAATTAAAGTATTACTTTAAGAATAAGTTTCTATTAACTTTGTTTACCTACTCTCAGTATTGAGGGAAATGCTTTTTTAGGTTTGAATATATGAAGTGGCTGGATTCTGTGTTCACAAAATAGAAGACCTTGCAAATGACTGAATTATTAGAATATTGATCATCACCTATTTCCATTATTTTAGGAATATCAGAATTCATTTTTAAAAATGTATGCTAAATTTTTAATTTGTAACTGGAATTATTCTTTTATAATTTAAAAAAGCAGTATACATGTTTGTAATCTTCTGGTAGTGTTTAAGCTTCACAGGGGGCTGGCTGAGTAGTATGTGAGTTTTGAATTGCATTTGTATAGAAGTTGAGAGTAATGTGGAAAATTTTGTTGTGAATTCCTAAAATTTTATGCACGGCCTTGGTAATGCTAAATATTAAAGTGTTGTTGTGCTACTTTTCATGCATTTTGAAGGTTGCAGAAAAGGATGTTGTTAGAGTGCCAACCATGTTGAAAGATAGTGTGCAAGCACATGGACACACAATGTTATGTTAAGCTTCAGACTAAAACCAGAGCTTCAAACTAAAATTGGAGGAAAGATATTAGCATCAATTGAAACTTGTGGTGGGGACAAGAAATCATTAATGTAGTGAAATACACAGAGTGCTTTTCTGCCAAAGAGTTCAAGTACACTTATGTTGATCATCAAGATATCCCTATGAAGTAGAGGCAACCAAGACTCAAAGAAGTTTAATGACTTGAAAAAGTCTAGGTAAGTTAGTAGCAGAGCCAGTGTTGGACCTCTGTGACTTCCTCCCTCTTCCCCCATCTCCCCATAGTTGGCCCCCTTTCTGGAAAATTCTGAAGATACTTGGGACTTAAAATTGGATGATCTGGGTTCAGTCACTGCTTATTAGTTATATGACTTTTGGCAAGTCAAGCATTCTTTGGGACACAATATAGCTTTGATTCTTTTTGTGGAAGTTTATTTCTGTGTTTTCTTTACCTCTCTGTAATACAATATTTCCAAGTTAGACTCTTTTGAAAAAAACAAATTCTATCTCTGTAAGAAATAATGGCAGCAAAAAAGCTCAGACTTGGACACTGCACTTTATTTCACGTGCAAGTAAGTGACTTGTGATTAAGGATACACAAGATACCACAAACAACAATTATTTTTATTGCACACAACATTTAGTATGGTTTTCCTTTTAAAAACCACAGATTGGTTTAGTGATTTATTAGCAGGATAATCCTAACTACATTTGTTTTGTTTTTAACACAGATGAAAATATCTAAAATACATGATTCAGAATTAGATTATACTATTTTCACGAAAAAATTAGTGTCAAATTATATGTCAGAATTAACAAAGATTTTTATTTCCATAGTAACAAATTTTTACACTTGTGCATTTAATATATTTTGTATTTATAGAAGATACTAATTTTAAACAGTTGGTGGCTTAAGACTAGATATTATGTTATAAAATAATTTTATAGATTAATTATTAATTAGCTAATTGATAACGTAGAAAAACAGTTTTACCTTACGAATGATACCTAAGTTATGGATATGAATCTAAGCCCCCAAATATCTCCATTAAAATCCTTTCACTGAGTTCTGGGGTTTTTTGTTATAAATATTTTGATTGCATAAGAATTTCAATTCCTAACATTTTTGATATGAAAGTCTTTGATTTTTAATTGTATACATCTGTTGCCTTAAGTTTGAACAGCCATGAATGTGAGAGAGTGATTTGTTGTTCACATTTACATTGCACTGTTCATATCAGGTCATTCTTGTCCAGTTTGTGTCTACTTCTGATACTACTTCTTTGATGATTCTGAGTTTGTAAATAAAAAAAAAATTCAACTTCGTGAAATATTGTAATTAGTGACAACTGAAAAGTGCTTTGAAACTGTTTGTAAAATATATATGCAAAAGCAGTTCCTAACTGCTGAAAAATGCACTTTTTAAATTGTATGGCTTCAAGGGTGCTTTTTCAATGAATACTTAATATAGCTAACTCTCAACTCTCTCTGATACTAAAGCCCAATGAAGAAAGGATTATTTTGGTTGAAAGGCAATTCAGAAATTTCATTTGGCTTCTCAACTTTAAATTTCTTTCACAACAAATGTTTTACCAGAAAAGTAGAAATGGACCATCTGCTGAAACCTTCATCAAATGGGGAGTAGCCAAGGTAGCAGAGAGTCAACAATGTTGGTGATTCATTATTGGTATGAGAATAATTGAAAACTGATTATAATTAGATAAAGTACATGCATAAGAACCATATTCTTTTAACAGAAAAACTCCACAAAATGTTCCTCCCCAACCTTTCTACTTCACCTAAGTTGGACTTTTAAAATTTTTCATTTTCATTTTTTACACTATGTATTTGTAAGTCAGTTGTCAGCATCACATATATTATAAAAATAAATACATGGCTTTCCCTTCCATTTTCTTATCCAAATCTAGATTTTGGACCCTGTGACTATTACTACTTCTTAATTTCTGTTTGTTGTCCTAATGTTGGCATGTTTTTTGGGGGCCTTGTCCCCTTGGGCCCCTGCTCCAAGTTTTTTGGGTTTCTGTTTTCACTGACTTACCTTCTTCTTTACATTCTTAAATATTATGGATGCTTTCTGTTGATATTTTTCTCTTACATTTATGTCAGAATTATACAGTCATGTTTGTGCCTTTTTTCAGTGGCTTCTCTTCTGCTGCTTCATTTTCTTTCTATAATTCTCCTTTGTGGTTTATTATGCAAAATCACATTCATTTCTGTGTCCTGAAACCAAGTCAGTTGATGAACTAGATAATATATTCTGATATTAAATTTGATAGGAATGTATTGGGAGAAGCACTCTGCCAGGAGCACTGAGCGTTCCTGAATGTCCTGGGGTCTGCTGGGTATTGCTGGGTATACCAAGATTGGAAAAACCTGAGTGTTCTTTGTCTGGACCAGTTCTCAGGGTTGTGTTTGAAGCTAGCAACCTTGAGCTATGCAGTAAGGACTCCCCAAAGAGCAGACTTGCTTCTGCTTGTTATAAAAATGGTCAATTTTAAAGCTCAGTGTCATTTGGCTGTAATGCAAATCCACTGTATACAGAGTATTCATCTAGGCCCCTCTGCCAAAGGAACTTGGGTGGGAAGGTGAACTGTCCTCTTACTTCTTGCTGTGTCATGGATAATAAGGTCCTTTCCCGGTGACCAAGGCATCTTAGGCCTTCTGGCAGCATCCGTGACAAGAACAGACTAGCTTCATAGCTTGCTAATAGAGTAAAATCGTAGACTCATCCTGATTTTTGACAGTTTGAGAATAAAGCCGTGATGTTGACAGAAACATAGCTTCCTGCAAGAGAAAAGACAAGTGTCCTTGTGGGTCAGTTTAGTAGCAAATGCTCTTGTTGAAGTGGGAAGCCAGTAGATCCCCTGCTGACTTACCTGTTGATGAATATTTAGAGGCTAAGCAGTGAGACCTAGAACAGAGCTGCCTGAATGATGCTTTGGTTGATGCTTACTCTCTAGGCTAGAGAAGGAAAGAATGTTATTATGTCAATAAGGCAGTAAGCCTTTGGGCCAAAAGGTGTCAGCAATGGGTATGAGTAGACTGAATACATTATAGCTTTCTTTGTTGAAGTCAAGTAGGCAGTTTGAACATATATGTTAAGTCTTGCTTATTGGTGCAGAGCCCTTCTTTGTACCCTCTGATTCTCAGCTTCTTAAGGTAAAGCCTAGTATGGTAGGGAACCATCAAGGATGGGGGCGGGGGGAATTCAAACTTTTACAGCTCTGTTGGATGGGGTGCCCAAGCACCAGGCTACCTGATCGTATGGGGAGAAAGCACCGGAGGTGGCAAGGGAGGCTGAAGGCTCTGTGGGCTGCACAGTGGAGCTGTGGCAGTGTGCACAGGGCAAAGTAAGGATGCCCAGGCTCTTGCAGGAGCTGGGAGGCACGGGGGAGGAAGTTGCACTGACCCTGGGGTGAGGAGCCAAGCAGAAGAAAAGCCTCCTACCACTTCAGTCCTCCTGCGCAGGCTAGCCTCCCCCACTTCCCC